GATCTTTTACAACTTGAAAAGAGTAACTTCATAAACATTCGTTCATATGTCCAGTGCTCACTGAATTTGGTGTTAGATGAGCTATCAAGACTCATTCTGGGAGATTATAAACTCTTCATAAACATGGGATACCAAACGCATCAAGTTTTTATATATTGGACGTGGGTGCGTCTCATTGGCATGAAAAAGGCCGAAGTTAGCCGACTCTTTTGCATAAATTTTGCAGTCAGAAGAACAGCAAGAACTGCTGCAGAAGCCAAAGTAGCATAGCACACAATGACATCGGCAAAAAGATTAACACTGTAGTGTGCGAGAAAAGTTCGTATTGTCTCATGAGTATCAGCACTTGAAACGTTCTTGCTAAGGGCCCGTTTGGTAACGTGCCAAACAGTGAAAATTTCTGTTATTTTGTTTTTAGAAATAGTTTGGGAACAGAAATGCGTTTGGTAAACTTTTTGTTCCCGGGCACATTTTTGCAAATATTTGTGCCGAGAAACAGTTTGGAAGAGAAACAAGAAGTAAAAAAAAGTTACTTCTTGTTTCTCGGCACAATTTTGAGAATCAGTTTTTTTTTCTTCTTTTTCTTTTTTTTCTTTTCTTCTTTTTGTGTTGCTCTTCTTGGGTTGTGGCCGGCAAGGGCGTCATGGCCCTCGCCGGCCGGCGGCGGAGGCGAGGGTCCCCCCTGCCGGCGAGGGCGAGGGCTGGACCCTCGCCGCCCGGGCGAGGCGGCTCGCCGTCGGTCATGGCGAGGTCGGCCTCGCCCGCATCCGGGCGAGGCCGAGCCTTCTGCTGTCGCGACCCACTGGCGAGGTCGACCTCGCCGGATCCGGGCGAGGCCGAGCCTCGCCGTCGCGACCCACGGCGAGCCGACCTCGCCGTGGGTCGCGACGGCCAGGTCGGCCTCGCCCGGATCCGGGCGAGGTTGGCTTCGCCGTGGATCGCAACGGCGATTGAGCGAGGCCGACCTCGCCATGACTGACGGCAAGCCGCCTCGCCCAGGCGGCGAGGGTCCAGCCCTCGCCCTCGCCGGCAGAGGGGACCCTCGCCTCCGCTGGTGCCGGCGAGGGCCGTGACGCCCTCGCCGGCTCTGGGTTGTGGCCGGCCGCCGGTCGCCGACGACCGGCCATGGCCTGGGTAGAAAGAAAAAAAAAATTAAACAATTCAAAATATTATTAATAAAAAAAAATTTGTGTGTAGTTACCAAACGCATTTCTGTTCTTTTCTTTTCCAGGAATAGAAATTTTGGACAATTTACCAAACGCCTTCAAATGCAGAGAAATTGTTTCCGGGCACAGAATAAAAAAAAAATCATTTCTGTTCATAAATAGTTCCCGGGCACAGAATGGTTGTCATGCGCACCCTAAACGTTTAAGTAGTTGCGGACACAGACCAATTTGTATCCCTAATACCCAACACAAGCAAATTTGGAATTGTTTTTCTAGAAGGGAAAATAACATAAATGGTCTCTGAACTTTGACCTAATGTGCAGTGCAATCCCTAAATTTTTAATCAGTTCAATGTGGTCCTTGAATTTTTTGTACATGTTCAAACTGGTCCCTGAACTATATGAAAAAATTCAATGTAGTCCCTCAACTTTTAATTCATTCAATATGGTTCATGAACTTTTGATACATAGTCAAACTAGTCCATATACTATAGGAAAATGTTCAATGTTGTCATTCCATTTAATTAAGTTCAGGGACAACATGAACTATTTTCATATAGTTTAGGGACTAGTTTGAACATGTACCAAAAGTTCAGAGACCATATTGAACAAATTAAAAGTTCATGGATCACGTTGCACATCGGGCCAAAGTTGGAAAACTATTTATGTCATTATCCCTTTCTAGAACGGTTGAAAAAAGTATCGTAGATTGACTATCGAGCACAGGCTCAACATTCGTCTCATGGAGAAAAAATCGACGAAAGATATATCTTTTAAATTTCTAATGGCCCACAAACGAATTGTAATTTGGAAAATGAAATTTTATGCGAGCATAATGAATTTCGGCAATTCTACTGTCCAATTATATCGGATGGTATGCACTTATCCCTTTCTTTTTTCTCCGATTCTTAGTTAATTCGTCACGGAAAATACTTATTCCTTGAATTTTGGAGTAGCTCACGTATTAATTTAATATCTAACAAAAAATTCTACAGCTACTTCCGATATTACAACATCGATTTTTCCCCCTTGGAGGCCTAATTAAACTGACTTGTGGTTTTGCTTTCGATTTTAGAAAGTTCTAAAATTTCCAATGACTTGACTGGATCCAATTGGGCCATCTTAAGTCAAACCATGGACCTTGGACTTTCCACCCTCTCGCGTTCTAATATATTAAGTTCTGAATATTCTCTCTTCCCTACATCCTTGACTTGGAACTTACTCACACATTTGACCATCTCTCTCTCTCTCTCTCTCTCTCTCTCTCTCTCTCTCTCTCTCTCTCTCTCTCTCTCTCTTTACATAGAGCCAATATTGGCGGCACCGAATTCACGTGAGCTCAATGCATCGAAGTCGTTAAATCAGATGGGTCCCACGTGAGCTATGATGAACGGCTGCGATATGTGTGTCGTGCTTATTTGAAAGCAGTGCAGGGTAGAAATTTTTCTGGATTACATAACAGTTCGGATAGAGTCCGGCTGAACTAGTGCTGAATCATGCGATGGTTGCGATTGCATATTCAGGCGAAGAAGTCATCTCGAGCGTATCTTTCTAGATTATGCTAGATTGTCTTTATTTACTGCTCATGTGAATAGTCTTAGTATATGTAGCACTTAGAATCGGCATGATATTTTATCTAATGGTCATATCACGTGATAGTGACACGTGGTGCGACAAGTCAATCGTATGTATTCTACATTAGGGCGCCCATTTATCCGAAGAATTACGATCGTCAACAAGATCATGCTGAATATGACTCATTTAATATGGTCGTTGGAAAATTTGTTAGTTGGTGAGTTAATTTGACTTGGATTGAGAAAGTTGTGCAATTCCAAAACTGTGTAGAATCTGCTCTTTTTTTCTACAAGGCCAGGACCACGTCAATTATTCCTTTCATACATCAAAATGGAAATTGTGAAATCTCCTGTTCTCCTTGACCATATAAATCGGGTAGGAGGCTGCTCGAGGAAAATCTCGTTTCCATGAAACTTCATATTTCATTCCTTTCATACATGTCTACCGCTGTATGTACAATATATCAATATGCATTGAACCGGCGACGGATCGAGAAGGCTGGGATGGAGCTTGGCAAGGCCGTTGCCTTTATTAGAACGTTGAACCCAGAAGCTTAAACCAATAGGCAAAGAGAATGCAGGCAATGTGAAAAACTTAGTAGCCCCTTGACCGCTTGGTGATTGGTGCAACTTTTATATCAAATTTCACATGAAATGTCGATATCTCACCCCCTTTTCCTTGAGTTAGGTGTTGAAAATTCATCCTCGCCTGGGCGGGCGAGGGCAACCCTCGCCTGGGGCGGGCGAGGGCTGTCCTCACCCACGCCAGCAAGGTCGAGCCTCGCCAGCGGCCGGCGGGGCCAACCTTGCCGGCATCCGCCTCTGGCCGGTCACCGGTCCGGCGACCGGCTAGAGGTTGAACATGAAGAAAAAGAAAAGAAAAGAAAAGAAAAAATAAAAAAATTCAAAAAAAATAAAAAATAAAATTAAAAAATTAGTTCGGGGGTAAAATTGTCACAGATGTACCAGTTTGGGATTTTTTGTGATAAAAAAAATAGTTTGGGATAAATGTATCATAAGTGTACCGGTTTAGAGTTTTTCGTGGTATTAACCCTTTTCATTTTGATCACGAACATTATTCACGATGGTGGGTCTTCGAGCGTGAGCTGGATCTTGTGTTTTGTGACTCGATCCAAGACTGAGTGATTTTTAGGACTCGCTGCAATCAGTGGGCAGCAAGGAAATCGAGAAAAGCAGTGTATGTGACCTGCATCACAGGTCATATCATCACGGTGTACTTTTGCAGTCAGGTTTGACAAATCAAACCCGAAATTGTTTACTGGAGACATAGTCACATAAGTGTTTCTCCTCAAGGACACCTCCCTTCAAACACTCGAACCGACAGTCTATCGGTAGCAGAATTTCATCCGGATGATGATGTTTTTGCTCATCTAAATCTATGGTCGCATGGAAAAATGTTATCAAGTTTCTTATATTCTTGCGCGCGATGATTGACTTGGGTGAATAACCTCATCGAGCATATAATAGTCAATCGCCCCTTTCTTCCTCATCTTCCTCTCAAGGTTAGGTGATCAATAGACTAGTCAATTGCAGGGGCAAAGGAAGTTGACAAAGAAGACCCATTTGGTAATTGATGCAAAGGACACCTCAAAAGTGTGCAACCCCCCATTGGCCAAATCTTCCTACTCCCTTGAATATATTGATTAAAGAAGACGCCAATAATTCGTTAAACATACTTGTGGACAAAGGCCAATTTGTCCCGTCACCTACTCTGCTGCCCAATTGGAGCAAATTGACAATCGCCTTTCTAGAAAGCAGGCAGGCAATGTAAAAGGGTGAGCACGATGCTTTCTTGCCATTTCTTGCTGACGATTACTGTAAATCGACTGTTCGATCATAGGTTCGACCTTAATTTAGTGCAAAAGATCGACAAAAAGACAGATCTCTCAAGATCTCGAGTGGCCCTTAGAGCATGATGAATTTGCAATGTAAAAGGGGTGAGCACGATGCTTTCTTGCCATTTCTTGCTGACGGTCCTCGTCAATCGACTGTTGAGCGTAGGCTCGACATTAATGTAGTGCAAAAGATCGACAAAAAGACTGATCTGTCAAGATTTCGAATGGCCCCGCAGAGCATGATGAATGTCCAGCCTTACCCAATTGTGTCCAACCGTATCCACACCGGAAACACATTGAAAGAGCGCAGTATATCCAAATAAAGCCAGAGAAAAATCATGGCATGGAACTAAATGCGAGGGCAGACTGTGACGTGGACTGATTAGCTAACCTTGGAACCCCCAGGGGAATCGGGTCGTGATTTGGTGGGTTGGTTCATTGAAGATAACGTGGGCAACTTCCTTTGATGCTCTGATGCAGAGCGTTTCTTTATAAGGCGAAGAGACACCCGGTTGGAGAGACCCATCGAGAAGCGACAAGGAGGGAGGCCGGGTCGTGATTTGGTAGGTTGGTTCCTTGAAGATGACGTGGGCAACTTCGTTCGATGCTCTGATGCAGAGCGTCTCTTTATAAGCCGAAGAGACGCACAGCGGGAGAGACCCATCAAGAAGCGACAAGGAGAGAGAGAGAGAGAGAGAGAAATGGTGGTGAAGGTGTACGGGCCTGACTACGCGTCGCCGAAGCGAGTGCTGGTGTGCCTAATCGAGAAGGGCGTCGAGTTCGAGACCGTCCCTATCGATCTCTTCAAGGGCGAGCACAAAGCCCCCGAGTTCGTGAAGCTCCAGGTCTGTCCCCTGTTCTTGAGAACCCACTTCGCTTTCAATCAAGAACCCTCGAAAGCTTGACTCTTTATCGTGTCTCCTTTCGTGGGTACTTAACATTTTAAAGTGTTTTTGTCTGATTGTTTCTGATTCGGGTCGTGTGTGTACCCTGTGTACGTGTAGCCCTTCGGATCAGTTCCTGTGGTTCAAGATGGCGACTACACTCTTTTCGGTAAAGCTCTCAGCTCTTTTGGCTTGCGTCGTTCTTCTGTTTTTGTTTGTTTTGAGCCTCCGGATTTCACATCGCAGTCCGGGGCGCTTGGACTTTTTCTTGCGGTCTTGAGATCAAAACTCGTGCATATATGGATGATTCTTCAGCATGTAGCTGCTCCTAATTTACTATGCGCTGTTTGTTCTGTAATCGGCCAGCGAAGCGTCGCGAAAGTCTAAAATGTTCCGCCATGAGTAGATAGATACCAGAGGAAGTTGGGAAAGATTGAGTCCACTGACATGTTCAGTTGATATCAGCTACTCGTTTTAGCTTACACACATCTACCGTTTTATCTTTGCAACTCGTTACAAGCGTTTTGTTAGGTTGAAGTTAGGTTGTCCTTTTCATTATTTCTACTTTCTGGGAGTCGTTCACTCTCAATCTCAAGTCAAATCATTTGCCCGAGGAACGGATGATTTGAATCAAAGATCTAAGGCCAGAGTCATAGCTTCCATATCTGTTGTGGAGTTGTTCATGATCTGTTTCTTTTTGTATGTCGGCCTAAGGGTTGTTGATTATCTATTTGGAACTGCGTTTTCATCCGATTATGTTCCTGACCGGTGTTTAACCAGAATGATCAGTGCATTGCCATCGAAATGTCCCACCGCGTGTACACTAATACTGTTGGGTCTAGTGTCATGAGAGTAAGACTCTGCTGGTAAATTCAAAAGCACGGTGCATGTCTCTTTTAGGATTCATCCTAGTGTTACGGTGCTTTTCATATGTGGGGATAAAGATTCGCCTGTCTACTCTCTGTAGTATATCTTGTTTAATCCATACAGAATCGCGGGCCATCATAAGGTATTATGCCGAGAAATACAAGCACCAAGGGACCGACCTGCTGGGGAAGACAATAGAGGAGAGGGGGCTTGTTGAGCAGTGGCTCGAAGTCGAGGCCCAGAACTTCCATCCGCCAATCTTCGACCTCGTCCTCAAAATTGTCTTCGGCCCATTTAAGGGACTTACCCCGGATCCGAAGCTGCTCCAAGAGAGCGAGGACAAGCTCTGTAAGGTTCTGGATGTCTATGAGGAGAGGCTGTCGAAGAGCAAGTACCTGGCGGGGGATTTTGTCAGCCTCGCCGACCTGAGCCACCTCTCAGTCACCCAGTACTTGGTGGGCAAGATGGGGAAGGAGAACCTGATAAGGGACCGGAAGAATGTTTGCGCATGGTGGAATGATATCTCGAGCAGGCCTTCCTGGAAGAAGGTCCTCGAGCTCTGGCCCGGTCTGTATTAGGGCCGTTTTATTAGGCGTGCCGGGTGCGCCCGAGTCCTCGATCTGAATCGGCGGATTTGGGCGATCAAATAAGCTTTTGTTGAGTCTGGTTTGTGAAGGTCATGTGTAAAAGTGGGATCACTCCAGTAACTGATCCTGTTGTGGACCTCTTTGGTGTTGTACACGGGGGTGTCGTGTCTTGTCGGGCCATGTATGCGGCTAATTAGTACTATGCTAGCAACTTTGGTGAAATAAAAATATAACCCACCTACTTAAGTCAACTTTCGAGGATCTTTTACAACTTGAAAAGAGTAACTTCATAAACATTCGCTCATATGTCCAGTGCTCACTGAATTTGGTGTTAGATGAGCTGTCAACACTCATTCTGGGAGATTATAAACCCTTCATAAACATGGGATACCAAACACATCAAGTTTTTATTTATTGGACGTGGGTGCGTCTCATTGGCATGAAGAAGACCGAAGTTTGCCGACTCTTTTGCATAAATTTTGCAGTCAGAAGAACAGCAAGAACTGCTGCGGAAGCCAATGTAGCATAACACACAATGGCATCGGCAAAAAGATTAACGCTCTAGTGTGCGAGAAAAGTTCGTATTGTCTCATGAGTATCAGCACTTGAAACGTTCTTACTAAACGTTTATGTAGTTGCGGACATAGACCAATTAGTATCCCTAATACCCAATACAAGCAAATTTGGAATTGCTTTTCTAGAAGGGAAAATGACATAAATGGTCTCCGAACTTGGACCTAATGTGCAGTGCAATCCCTAAATTTTTAATCAGTTCAATGTGGTCCTTGAATTTTTTGTACATGTTCAAACTGGTCCCTGAACTATATGAAAAAATTCAATGTAGTCCCTCAACTTTTAATTCATTCAATATGGTTCATGAACTTTTGGTACATGGTCAAACTAGTCCCTATACTATAGGAAAATGTTCAATGTTGTCATTCCATTTAATTAAGTTCAAGGACAATATAGAATATTTTCATATAGTCTAGGGACTAGTTTGAACATGTACAAAAAGTTCAAAGACTATATTTAATAAATTAAAAGTTCAGGGACCACGTTGCACATTGGGCCAAAGTTCGGAAACTATTTGTGTCATTATCCCTTTCTAGAACAGTTGAAAAAAGTAACGTAGATTGACCATCGAGCACAGGTTCGACATTCGTCTCATGGAGAAAAAATCGACGAAAGATATATCTTTTAAATTTCTAATGGCCCACAAAAGAATTATAATTTAGAAAATGAAATTTTATGCGAGCATAACGAATTTCGGCAATTCTACTGTCCAATTATATCGGATGGTATGCACTTATCCCTTTCTTTTTTCTCCGATTCTTAGTTAATTCGTCACGGAAAATACTTATTCCTTGAATTTTGGAGTAGCTCACGTATGAATTTAATATCTAACAAAAAATTCTACAGCTACTTCCGATATTACAACATCGATTTTTCCCCCTTGGAGGCCTAATTAAACTGACTTGTGGTTTTGCTTTCGATTTTAGAAAGTTCTAAAATTTCCAATGACTTGACTGGATCCAATTGGGCCATCTTAAGTCAAACCATGGACCTTGGACTTTCCACCCTCTCGCGTTCTAATATATTAAGTTCTGAATATTCTCTCTTCCCTACATCCTTGACTTGGAACTTACTCACACATTTGACCATCTCTCTCTCTCTCTCTCTCTCTCTCTCTCTCTCTCTCTCTCTCTCTCTCATTACATAGAGCCAATATTGGCGGCACCGAATTCACGTGAGCTCAATGCATCGAAGTCGTTAAATCAGATGGGTCCCACGTGAGCTATGATGAACGGCTGCGATATGTGTGTCGTGCTTATTTGAAAGCAGTGCAGGGTAGAAATTTTTCTGGATTACATAACAGTTCGGATAGAGTCCAGCTGAACTAGTGCTGAATCATGCGGTGGTTGCGATTGCATATTCAGGCGAAGAAGTCATCTCGAGCGTATCTTTCTAGATTATGCTAGATTGTCTTTATTTACTGCTCATGTGAATAGTCTTAGTATCTGTAGCACTTAGAATCGGCATGATATTTTATCTAATGGTCATATCACGTGATAGTGACACGTGGTGCGACAAGTCAATCGTATGTATTCTACATTAGGGCGCCCATTTATCCGAAGAATTACGATCGTCAACAAGATCATGCTGAATATGACTCATTTAATATGGTCGTTGGAAAATTTGTTAGTTGGTGAGTTAATTTGACTTGGATTGAGAAAGTTGTGCAATTCCAAAACTGTGTAGAATCTGCTCTTTTTTTCTACAAGGCCAGGACCACGTCAATTTATTCCTTTCATACATCAAAATGGAAATTGTGAAATCTCCTGTTCTCCTTGACCATGTAAATCGGGTAGGAGGCTGCTCGAGGAAAATCTCGTTTCCATGAAACTTCATATTTCATTCCTTTCATACATGTCTACCGCTGTATGTACAATATATCAATATGCATTGAACCGGCGACGGATCGAGAAGGCTGGGATGGAGCTTGGCAAGGCCGTTGCCTATATTAGCACGTTGAACCCGGAAGCTTAAACCAATAGGTAAAGAGAATGCAAGCAATGTGGAAAACTTAGCAGCCCCTTGACCGCTTATTGATTGGTGCAACTTTTATATCAAATTTCACATGAAATTTCGATATCTCACCCTCTTTTCCTTGAGTTAGGTGTTGAAAATTCATCCTCTCATGAAGTTAGTTTTCTAGGTACGCTGCTGGAAAATTAGGTTGGTGAATGTAAGCAACACATGTTCGAGTAAAAGCTATTGAAATTACTTTTTAATTCCACACTCTCTTCCCGCAGTTCTCGACTAGACATTGTTTGATTCCGTGAAGTAGAAGTTGATGGAAACGTTGCAGTGACTTCAGAGTCATACTGCAGAATTTCCAACTTCGTAGCGGGGGAAGATGGCCAAGAAATGTATTATCTGGCAGTGGCAGGCTTTGTCATGCTAGTTGGTCATTGCAGAGCGTTCAAACATTCTCCAAAGCTTACACTAGTCGCGCAACCACGGCATCACGTGGTATGCTAACACGGTATCGCCCTCGTAATTTAGGGTTACGTTTTCTTCAAGCGCCAGCTCGATTTCCTTGGGTTATCGTCTTATTTTTTTTTTCTACTTTGCAATTTTCAAAGGGTGTTGTTGACGAAGTTTTGCGCATCAACATGACGACACTTGACGTCTCACGGGTATAAATTTTCTCTGGATGTCATGCTTGCATTTCGAATTGTAATCTGCGGTTAACAAGTCAAACGTCCATGGGCCGCTAAGGTGGACTTCCAACCTCAAAGAGGGAGTCGTCTTGTCGGTTCTCAGCTGCTTTTTCACCTGACAATATTGAACCTGCAAAAACCCTAGACCCGGGAAAAAGAAGGAGATGCACATCTCCATCAACGTCATAAGTTTACTTGGTCATGTGGACTGAGCAGCAAATGGATGACCTGACCCTCTTGCACGACTGCCCCATACAAGAAGCTTCTACTTCCAGAATATAACGGACACATTGTGCCAACCCAAAAGATCAACAATATAACGGAGAGAGAGAGAGAGAGAGGGAGAGAGAGGGAGAGAGGGATGGAACAGCGATATAGCAGTGATACAAGGATAACTGACAAGAAGAAGAACAAGGATGATGAGGAAGAAGTGACGCTTCCTGGGTTCCGGTTTTACCCGACTGATGAAGAGCTTGTCGGGTTTTATCTTCGCCGGAAAGTGGAGAGGAAGCCTCCCAAGATCGATTTCATCAAGCAGGTCGATATCTACAAGTACGATCCCTGGGATCTCCAAGGTAAGTAGACATACAAGTCACCGGTTGTTCGGTTTCTTTCTTTCTTCGCATGTCCCTCGTTTTCCCTAGACGATGGCACATCGCCTCGAGAAACAGATGAGAGGTTGTGAGATCCATTCAAAGGCGAAGCTGAGTCAATTTACTCACCAAGGATTTCAATAGCTTAGTAGCAACTCCAATTATTATTTAGCTGGATTAGTCTTTCATAGTTTAGAACTGAGATTGTAAGGTGAATCAACATATGCTTGTGTAGTATTGCACCGTTTTTCTTCTTTTTTTCGCTCAACATGAGTATAAGATTTCCTTTGCACGGATATAGAACCTAATAATTACATTTCTGATGGATGAATGTGAACAGCATAATCTTGCTTCTCAGTCACCATTTGTTCATAATCATCATCGTGACTAAACAGATGTTAGCAAAATGGGAGAGAGAGAAGGCTACTTCTTCTGCATTAGAGGGAGGAAGTACAGAAACAGCATAAGGCCAAACAGAGTGACCGGGTCTGGATTTTGGAAGGCCACCGGCATCGACAAGCCCATATATTCCAGTAAAAATCCCCATGACTGCATCGGCCTCAAGAAGTCTCTCGTCTACTACCGTGGCTCCGCCGGCAAAGGCACCAAAACCGACTGGATGATGCACGAGTTCCGGCTGCCGCCTGCTGGGAAGGGTGGCGCTCTATCTGTTGCAGATGACACAATCACTGAAGCAGTAAGATGCTAAATTCTCGTTGTAGGACCGCATCGGCTCGCTTTAATTCACTTTCCAATTGCTTTCAAACTTTCTATAAAAAAAATGAGTATTTGCCGGTTCTAGCTTGAGTTTCAGCTATGTTCAACATTAGTTACTATCTTACTAGCAGTTTATTTATGTCCTTTTCTTCCCTTAAATCAGCAAATGAGTAGCCAACCTGAGATGATCAATGTTAAAAGAGGACCAATCATTTTTGTCTGGGAGGGTATCTCACATTTAATTACATGCTCAAAATTTGGCCCTAAAACTGAAGGGTTCTCTCTTTTGGCAGGAAGTATGGACGCTTTGCAGAATTTTCAAACGCATACCCTCCTGCAGAAAATACATTGCAACACCTGAATGCAATGAGGCCACCTTCAAGCAGAGCTCAATCGATTCATGCTCTAAATCGAGCAGCTTCGAATCCGAATACGGAGACCCATGCTTGAGTTTTGGATCGGATCATTCAGCCATCCAACCAAGCAACAGAAAGCCCGCGACCCGCCATGTCGATCAAGCACAATACTCATCGGCCAACCATTGCAATTCCATCCCTCAGGCGCCTATGGCCACACCGTGCTCGAGCTTTTGGAATCTAAATGGAGAGGATATCTTCGCGAGCGGAATAAACTGGGATGAACTGAGATCGATAGTTCAGGGAGAGTGATTCCCCGCAAAAATTAGTTAGTCGTGCGGGAACTGGGAATTTGCGGATTCGAGAGATCAAGGGATGAACATGACACAACTGAAGTTTCTTTTTCCTGGGATTTATTACTAGGAAATGAGGACAGAAATAGGCATAGTTTTTCATAATCGAAAGTATGGACCTCCTATCTTACTTTGGCGTGGAAGTAAACCTGGACTGAGAAGTTTTGTTTGACAATAGCAGATTTTTTTTGCCTTGTGATCTTCACGTCCAATGGAAGGGCGACTTCGTGTAGTAGCTTTGCGAATGTTCGCGGTCATTGGATCAAAGTGTTGACTTTGACTATCAATGCCAAAATTTTGCTTTCCTTTCTCTAAATCTCCTAAAATCACTCCAAAGGGATTCGGAGAGATTATGATGACTTGTGAACATTTGTTTTGAACAAGTAAAGCACACTTTTTCTTGCCGATTTTTTTCAATTCTTTCTCCATGTGTTTTCTTCGTTTCACTAGCCATGCTGTAATCCCATGGTATTTGTCATGAACAGTGCGCCTGAAACTACATTTCTATTCTTGTTTTAACAAAAAAAAATTTCATTTTTCGTTGAATAAAATGAATTTTTCATGCTACTTCGTATTTTCTAATGAGCATTCTATAGCATGAATCAATTTTTTGATGATACTGAACCTTTGACGAGCACAAAGATAAAATATTCGTTAAACTATAATCAAATTATTCGCCATCCTTTACTCTTCTTCCACCAAGCATGAAATGACCAAACCCCTTTCCATCATTTTCCTCCAGAAGCATCCAAAACAATAATGCAGTTACTTTTCAGTTCTTGAACCAACCTTATGGCCTAATAAAAAAATAAAAAAAAACCAACCTTATGGCAACCAAAATCTTCACCGTTAGAAGTACAGAACGCGATAGAAGTGACCCAAAGAACAAAAAGAAAAGGAAGGATCGGGACTACCGGACCGATCAAAGACAAAATTCGTTTCGAGAAGAATCAGCTGCTATACAGTAATACTATCGAGCAGTTTTGGCGAAGGCCGCAATATACATTGATATAACGGGAAATCAAGCTGACTGAATGTACAATCGAACGAGTGAACCTGCTTATTCTAAAGAATGCTAACCGCATCGTGGAAGTCTAGGGTGTAAGTCCAGCTCATTCAACTTCGCAAAGAAAAAGGCATTGAATCATGAAGTTCATGCCCGACCTTCTAACCTGAGTGCACATAGTCGATTTTTTGTGCTTGTAGCTGCCAAGTGCCGATGTAACACTACCTTGGAAGGTTGACGCTCTTGTGCATCCTCCCACTGAGATGGATTCACCAATTCCTAACAACCGTTGTCGACTGGCTGAGTAACAACAGGAATGTCCAAGCTGCCTCCAGTCTCTGGAGCGATTTCTCTAACATCAGCTATTCTTGCTTCTGTTGCCTGAATGTCACTCCATTCCCCAGCTCTACTTGACCGAAGGCTGACTTCATCAACAGGCACACTCTCTTCGGAAACTGGTATAGCTTCAGAAACACTGAGACATGCTTTATCCACATTCTCCTCAGACTCTGTCTTCTCTTCAAAGACTTTCCTTGAATCAATGTGCTGTCTGTCAAGCATGATGTAGAACGTACAAAAAAGCATATTTATTTCCAACGTCATTTCAACAAGAAGATTAAACGTTCGCAAGAATAGAATAATGGTCCAGCATTCATTGAACTTTGTGACCCATAGGCTGAAATGATAAATTTGTAGGGCATAGTACATAAAAATAACCCAGGTAGACCAAATTTATTTTGTCAAGAGTAATGATTGTCTAATTCATAGCGACATTGTGTTTGCAACTATGGTTGGCGACAAAGAAATAACAAATGCACTTTTGCTAACTGAATGACTTACTTCACCAAAGACAACTTCTAATTGAAACAACATCGTCTGCAATTTGAGAAACTTTGACACATTCAGCACTTCCAAATCTATCTGCTTCCACACCCCTCCCACCACACCCTCCCCCCCTTTTCAAAAAACAAAGTTCTGTTTTTTTCTTGGACGTCGCACTTAAGTGGCATCTAATGTCACTGTCAGCGCAAAAACTGCATCCACTTTTGCTGTCCAAACAAAGGAAAGTCATCCACACGACCACTTTCCTGTCCAATTAAAGGAAAGTCCTCCACAATTCTTGTGGAGCAAAGTCTCATTTGCATTATTAACTTTGTTAAAAACCCTTTGGCTTATCTTCTCCCAGGTCTTCATATGTTGTGCTTAACATTATTATGTTTGATTGACCAATAACTAAACTTGAAACTTGCTAAAACTTTTAGAGCACAACTACTGCGCGACAGTGTTTCCTTGTGCGATATGACTATGAAAGCCAAGAATCGCAGCAACAACAGCTTCTTAAAAATGGCTTGCACAGTTTGAACAAAAAAAAAATATGGCTTGCACAGATATTGAAAGTTGTCAGATAGTAAACCTTTGTAGTTGTGCTTGCAACATGTTCACATATGCCAGAAGCTCTTGCTTCTCCTTTGCAGCAGCTGACTCTTTTTCTTGAACCTCCTTTTTTCTAGAATCAGCATCTGCCTCAGCAACTCTGGCCTTCTCTTCTGCCCTGACAACAGCTGCTTCTAATATGACAGAACGCTCTCGAGCTTTGCCAAGCTCAGAACGCAATAACTGCGCCTCTTGAAGAGCAGAGTCTCGCTGTTTAATCATTTCGTCTCTTTCTCCACTTAGAGCTGCAACTTTATCTTCAAACTCTTTCAGCTACATAGACAGGAAAAAGAGTTAACTGAAAGCTGTAAAAGAGATGAACAGAATAAGTCTTAAGCATTCCCTGACGTTTGTCTCCATTCAAACAATTAAACATATTTTTTGATTTTTCCTTCGAATCATCTACCAGTGGAGAGAATAGGAATAATGTTAACCGCAATTTTTTCCTTGTGCTTTTAGTCATCTAGTCTTAGTACAATGAGCTGTCAACATCATATTAACCGAAAGACCAACAAGCTGATAATATCTTGGGGACTATCGGAGAATATGTTGAACAAAGAAGCTGTCAAGAAAATTTGTAACAACCTTCATCTTTAATGACTCCAACTTCTTCTCACAACCTTCGGTCAAGCGCTCGATTGCAGCACAAGCTATCCTCCTTTGTTCATCCATCATATGGGCTGCAGAAGCTGCAGCATCAGCAGCGTCAGCAGTCTCTGATAGCTTCTCTGCTAACTCCTTTATAGTTGAATCTCGTGCACGAATGTCCCTCGCTAAATTTTGCAGTTCCTCATCCTTAACTCGTAGTGTCTCCTGAAAATGTACTTTTCAGTTTAACAGATAAAGATGGATAACAATAGATTACTGTTAGGAGTTGACATATAACCTGTAGAAAAGAAAATCTACAAAGAACAAACAGCATCACTTCCAACCAAAAGCAAAGACACAAATTTCATAAATGAAAATCAATTGATGATAATATGGAGAAGAAAAGACCAGATAATATGTAGTCACCAACCGCACACATTTTCCTCCACCACTCATTCCCCCATCCCTACTTCAACCTCTGTCTCTCTTTGTAAAGAAATCAATATAATTTGCAGAAGATTATACAAATGCTCCTCATCAGTCATTATCCATAATTATCGCCCATTTTAGCAGCTAACCCTTTTATCCCATAATTCACAACTAGCCAAGTTAGCTAACACATTCTGCTCGGCTGTGCAGTCTCCCATCATGTTTCTTGGCCAGTCATTACTTCCCCCCTTGATATTTTTATCCATCCAACCTCCGTGCGGCAGCATACACCTCAAAACACATGGTTCTTCTGCATCTGTTTCAGTGTAGCCTCAAATAATGTTTTCTTTGGTCCAAGTCTTACTTCCCCCATGCCTTACCTAACCATGCTCTGTAATGGTCAGCATTAGACATTGTTAGAAGTATCAAGGGCAAAGTGGTCTTTAGGACTCTTCGGGTTTATTGGGTTACCATTGTATAAATACGGTATTTTGCTGTATAATACAATAAATTTTTCCCTCTCTAACATGGTATCAGAGCCACAAAAATTCTAAACCCTAAACAGCCGCTTACCACTGTCTAGCACCAGTCGCCGCCGTGAACCATCCACCGTCGACCACCAACCAACCCCCTTCTCACCGGAATCTTTAGATCTCGCGTTGTCCAGGCCCGGCGAGCTCAGATCGAATGTTAGCGAGATCCGGCGAGCCTTGCCGGGGCGTCATCTAGGCCGGCGAGCCTTGCCAGGGCGTCGCCTAACGTCGCCTAGGCCCGGCGAGGCCAGATCTGGAGTCAGAAAGACCCAGCGACCCATGTAGAGACGTCGTCCAGCATCAATGAGGCGACGTCCATTGTCAGTGAGCCAGATTCAGCACCCATGTCTCTCGGTTAGGACCCACAGGTTTGATTTTTTGGCGGCTTGATGGTTACTGAGCTTCACAGCAGGAATTTTGAGGCGTTATTTGTTGATTAGGCTTGATAATGATGTTGGTAGCGCTTTATTAGAGATATGGATGTGTTTGTGGAATGTTTCTGAATTTTTTCGGAACTTATGCGATGCTGATTAGGTGAATTTTGGAGATTTTGGAGTTAATTATTTGGGGCTCTGGTGGATTATTGAATTGTTAAGGATGGGTGATCCGAGTAAAATTGATGGTAGTTCTGGAAAGAGTGATACCGTGACGACTGAGGTAATTTCCTCTTCATCTTCTCGAATTACTAATAAGAAGCTTGAGGGTATTACCAATTTTCAACAATGGAAGAAGATTGTTAAGTTTGTTTTGACGGGTAGAAATCAGCATATGCACTTGACTGAAACTAAACCTACTAATGATGCAAATTGGGATGTTATTGATGCACGTCTTATGGGTCAGCTTTTGAACTCCATGGAGAGCAATATTGTAGACTTGGTAACTCATATTGATACAGTCAAGGACTTGTGGGAGTACTTGGATGTATTGTATTCTGGCCAGAACAATATTTCTAGGATATATGAACTATCACAGGAGTTTCACCGATCTGAGAGCAAAGAGCGTTCTATTTATCAATACTTTGCTGATTTTAATAGAATGTATGAAGAATTGAATGCTCTCCTTCCTATTTCTTCTAGTGCTGAACAAATGCGACTCCAAAGAGAACAATTGACTATTTTCTAGGAGGTCTTGGTCCAGCCTATGATACTGTTAAGTCTCAGATTCTTGGAGGAGAGACTATTGCATCACTTAGGGATACATATGCTCGAGTTCTTGGAGCATCCCGTGGTTCTTCTCAGAGCACCATAGCTGTGGTTGATAATTCAGCTCTTGTTTCTCAATATCGAATTGGTGGAGGTAGGGGTGACGAAGGAAATCGTGGAGGGTATAATGGTCGTGGTGGTCGAAGCACAGGAATAGGAAGAGGCCAAGGACAAAGGCAGCTTTATGGATCTCCCCAAACTACTGCTGAGAGCTCAGGGACTATTCGAACTTGTCATTATTGTGGAAAACCTGGCCATATTCAGAAATTTTGCTACAAGTTGCATTGTAGACCAGGACAGCAACAACAGTTTGCAAATTCTGCATCTGGCACTGACTCTTTGTCCCTACCACAACCTTCACAAGGCAATGTCGTGGTTATGTCTGATGAGGAATTTGCACGGTACAACCAGTCTCAGATTTCACTACCTAATTCGTCTTCCACTGCTACTCTAGTCCAGATAGGTAATGCTACTGCATGCGTTTCAGCTAGTTCTCACCCTTGGGTCATTGATTCAGGGGGATCTGATCACATGTCAGGTCTTTCAGGTATATTTTCCTCTCTTACTCCATCGTCCACAGTTACTTTAGCTAATGGTTCATCTACACATGTTAAGGGAGTTGGCACAGTTCATCCAACTCCTTCACTACCTTTGACCTCAGTGCGTTATCTTCCACAATTTCCTTTTAATCTCATGTCAGTCAGTAAGTTAACTAAAACCTTTCAGTGTTCAGTAACATTCTATCCTGATTCTTGTATATTCCAGGATCTGGCTACGAAGAGGACGATTGGTAAGGACGTGAGGAAGGGGGACTGTATGTGCTTGAAGACTCAACTTCCTTTGCATGTTCTGGTGTTACTTCTCTACATCAGATCCATTGTCGTCTTGGTCATCCTTCTCTACACAGTCTTCAGAGATTGAATTCCAGTTTTAAATCTATTTCTAGTTTAGAGTGTGAGTCATGCCAACTTGGCAAATTACATCGTGTTAGTTATCCGCCTCGAGTCATTAAACGAACAGAGTCTCCATTTTTGTTAGTTCATTCAGATGTTTGGGGTCCATGTCATGTGACTTCCAAGTTGGGTTTTAGATATTTCGTTACTTTTGTTGATGACTATTCCAGAGTTACTTGGTTATATCTAATGAAAAATCGTTCTGAGTTGTTTTCTATATTTCGCGCATTTATATCTGAAATCTTTACTCAGTTTGGTGTACATGTTAAAGTGTTGCGTTCTGATAACGCTAAGGAGTACTTTTCTGCACCTTTTTCTGATTTTATGACACAGCATGGTATGATTCATGAATCTTCATGTCCTGATACACCACAGCAGAATGGTGTTGCTGAGAGGAAGAATAGACATTTGTTGGAAGTTACTAGATCTATGTTATTTGAGATGAAAGTCCCTAAAGTCTTTTGGTCTGATGCTGTCTTGACTGCATGCTATCTCATTAATCGCATGCCTTCCTCTGTTCTACGAGGTGGTATTCCATTTTCTACTTTGTTTCCAAATCAGCCACTATTTGCCTTACCACCTCGTGTATTTGGTTGTGTCTGTTTTGTTCGTGATCATCGACCTGGAGTATCCAAACTTGATCCCAAGGCTATCAAGTGTATGTTTCTTGGTTACTCCCGTACTCAAAAGGGTTATCATTGTTATTCTCCATTACTGAACAAATACTTCATAAGTGATGATGTCTCATTCTTCGAATCCACTCCATATCATGATGTTCCAATTTCTGTGTCCGAGTTGTATGAAGAATTACATGTGACTACAATTCGGTCAACCACTCCAGCTGTTTCACCTGCGTCTACACAGGAACCACCTCCTCTACAGGTTTATACTCGGCGTCCTCGGGTTCATACTCCCCCCCTTCCTCTTGTCACGACTGCGTCATCTTCCGTCCCAGATTCACCATTAGTCGATTCTCCTCATGTGTCAGATCTTGATCTTCCAATAGCTCATCGCAAAGGTACACGTGCCTGTACACAACATTCTATCGCAAATTTTATTTCATACTCTTCTGTGTCTCTTTCTTTTCGATCATTTTTATCTACTGTTGACCAATATCCTATTCCCAAGTCTGTATCTGAGGCATTACAAATTTCTGGGTGGAGGACAGCAATGGAAGAAGAGTTAAAAGCTCTACAGGTAAATCAAACTTGGGACTTGGTACCTCTTCCTTCAGGCAAAACTGCTATTGGTTGTAGATGGGTGTATGCTATCAAAGTTAATCCCGATGGTTCTCTTGCTCGCTTAAAAGCGAGACTTGTTGCGAAAGGGTATGCTCAGATGTATGGGATTGACTATCTGGATACTTTCTCTCCTGTTACCAAGCTTACTTCTGTTCGTATTTTGATATCTCTTGCTACCACCTATCATTGGCCTTTATTTCAGCTTGATGTTAAGAATGCCTTTTTGCACGGTACTCTACATGAAGAAGTTTATATGGAGCAACCTCCGGGCTTTGTTGCTCAGGGGGAGTCTGGAGGAATGGTTTGCAAATTAAAAAGATCTTTGTATGGTTTGAAGCAGTCTCCTCGGGCATGGTTTGGAAGATTTTTTGAAGCTGTACTTTCTTTTGGACAGTCTAGATGTGACAATGATCACTCTTTTTTTTTTATAGACAGTCAAGGAAAGGCAAATTATTCTTGATTGTCTATGTGGATGATATTATTATCACGAGAGATGATTTAGTTGGTATAGATGAACTAAAGATCTATCTTCAGAAACAATTTTAGACTAAGGACCTAGGAAAATTGAAGTATTTCTTAGGAATTGAGGTGGCACAGTCACAGAAGGGTATTGTTCTGTCACAACGAAAATATGTCTTAGATTTACTCATTGAGATAGGCATGTTAGGATCCAAGCCTCTTGATTCACCCATGGAACAAGGAGTTAAACTGGTTGCTAAAGGAGGAGAGCTATTCGATAGTTCTGAGAGATATAGAAGATTGGTAGGCAAACTAAATTATCTCACAGTTACTCGACCAGACATTGCCTTTCCAGTTAGTGTGATCAGCCAATTTCTGTCTTCTCCTCATACTTCTCACTGGGATGCAGTAATTCGAATTTTAAGGTACTTGAAGAAGACTCCAGGGAAAGGCATTATTTATCAAAATCATGGTCATAGTAGAGTTGAAGGATTTTCTTATGCTGATTGGGCAGAGTCTCCAGATGATAGGAGATCTACTACTGGCTATTGTACATTGGTTGGAGGAAATCTAGTGTCATGGAAGAGTAAGAAACAAAGTGTTGTTGCCCGCTCCAAGCTTGAATCGAGTATAGAGCCATGGCACAAGCAACATGTGAATTAGTGTGGATTCAAGAATCTGTTGATCGAGTTAGGCTTGAAAGTTTCAATTCCTATGTCTCTATGGTGTGATAATAAGGCTGCAGTACATATAGCATCTAACCCGGTGTTTCATGAGAGAACAAAACACATTGAGATTGATTGTCATTTTATTCGAGAGAAGCTGCAAAGTGGAACGATTCTTCCTAGTCATGTTAGAACTGGTGAACAACTTGCAGACATTTTTACTAAATCTTTGGGTAGCGGGAGGATAGAATATATTTGTAACAAGCTGGGCATGATTAATATCTATGCTCCAGCTTGAGAGGGAGTGTTAGAAGTATCAAGGCCAAAGTGGTCTTTAGGACTCTTAGGGTTTATTGGGTTACCATTGTATAAATACGGTATTTTGCTGAATAATACAATGAATTTTTCCCTCTCTAACAGACATGATAAGGATCAGCATACAAAAGAGGGACCAGTCCTGCGTTAATTAAAGTCCAGAATGCCCTTCTAACATTTATTTGTCATTCTAATTGGTGCACTAATAATCACTGTTTATCGCATTCTCCATTTTATGGTTGTATTTACTGGACAAATGACAATCTTCATCTGCTGCATCCAAGCATTGATGTACCTTAGCAGGAAATCATTCCCTCTTTCCCCAGCCCTGAAGGCTAACCTCAAATTATTTGGACATACATCCTAAGACCATTAAAAAAAGATGCAAGTTAGGCACTTTTCAGAGTGACTACTGCACAAACATCCAGCAGTTGCCACCTTTAATCTAAGTAACAAAGTACTTAGATATTGAGATATTGAGAGTTCAGCTTCATAAAGTGCTGGGATGCCTGTAGTAACAACTTCTATAAGTTATATCTTCTCCAATTTTCCATTTCGTATCATTTCCTCTTAACATATCGTTATCACTCTCAATTCTCCATATCCTACAAGTTTCTTGCTGACCCTACTACATCCAGTACAAACTACAAGCTAATTTGGTGAACACAGACGAAGTAACGTCTTTTGTTGCTTTACATACTTCCAAACCACAAGTAATGTCACAGCATAGCACTGTGAAGGTTTCACGAAAATTACAGAAGATACCAACATTCAGTAAGACTTTGGCCACAGACAGTACCTTCATTATCGTGAAATCATCCAATGGACCATCCATAATTCTATTCGTGATCATTCCAAGGGAATTTCTCATCGAAATCTGCATTGCTGCTTCAATTTCCTTAGAGGATTCCAGAGCTGTTGAGTTAGCTGCAGCCACTGCAGCAGCCACTGTCCCCAATTTCGCAGAACCATTTCCACTCAGAGAATTTACAGCCTGTGTATGAGCCTTTAAGACCAGTTGTGTAGCTCTGATTTGGAAGAGAGAAGGATGGAAGAGGTGAGTACCATGGAAAGTTAAACAGAAAAACAAATTTCGATAGTGACTAGTATGATCCTGGAAGCATAATTATGCCAACCCAGGCATCCCAAAATAGAGAATGTCCCAAGTGGCCAGCAATTTGGAACTCATCCCATTTCATGGTACACTAGCAGTTTGGAACACTAAAATCAGCATTTCCCATCATCCCAATACAAACAGTGCTATGTTTTTCTCGGTTAACGACAATATATGTTATTTTCACATGATGTATTTTCCATGCTAATATTTTTTGACTCTGTTTAAGCATATACTATTAGTACTATCAATGTTAACTTTAATATATATTAACAATCATTCTAATTTAATTTACATGACCAAAAGAAGCCTATCCATCCCATACCACAGTTTTAAGAGTGACCTTTCACATTCCATTTTCATTCGAAGTACCACAGAAAAGTCAATAAACCGTAGCATATGCTGGTGACTCAAATAAACAATCATATTCGTGTGTTGATTTCAATAGGAAACCTCCCAAAAACTTACTGTAGCGTCGATACCCAAGCTCTAGCAGCACCAGGAGTTTCAGCACAGAAAAAGTAATCTCTCCTTGATGGGGTCCCAATATCTAGAGACGAAAGTTAAGAACGGTGCTGCAGCAAATTAAATCCATATCCAGATATAGACACAAAAGGCAAGGGAAAGAAAGCCTAAGATCATTTAATAGTAATGTTGATGGATGAGGATACAGAAGCAGCAGCCATCGTACTTCGGCAATCCGCTGAAACACAATTGGAAGGTGATAAGAAACTATCCGTTGAACTCAACCAGATAATAATAACTGCAGAAGCAATAAGGGAGCACACTTCTGGTACATCATTCTTACTTGAAGTTCACTGGAGATAAAGTTATAGTGCTGTTAGCATCGAACACTATGGTTCCCTTGACAGCTGGCTCATTTCTCCTGACCCTGGAAATAAGTAACCAAGAAATGAGATATTTCTTTTCCCAAGTACTTGGCTTTACGTAAGTGTACAAACAAAAATTACCTACTTGTACTCCATCCTCCCTGTGGTTGGATCTAAGATCACCCATCGCTCATTCCACTTCCTTAGCTATCAAAAACATGAACATATCTGTGAGAGCTATGAATGACAAGATGGAAAGAGCTTACGACAAACAGGAGAAAATAATCTTTTCACAATATCCAACTATACTCTGTTTCAGTCCTCTTCCCCATTACTTAGAAAAAGTAAAGTGACTAACAGAAGATACCAGTCCATTATTTTCTAAGCAAGTGTATGTGCGCTATCAAAGAAAAGCTAAATTGAATCAACCCCCTGGCTACATGTCACTGTGTCTCATCATTTACGTCATATCGATTTGCACAAATCTTTCACTGTTGCCCACTACCTTATGTGGGATAAGACATTTGCCCGGACCCAATCAACGGATAAGATAGCACGCATCCACTAGAGAATACTGACCTCACTTTTCCCGAGGCTGACCGCATCATAACGAAAGAATCTAATCTTCACCACTTAGGCATTCTGAGTTAATCTTATTCCCACTCAACCATAAACAAAAAAATCCAGACATATAGCCTATCTATCGTCGAAGATCGCAGAGAGCACTAATAATCAACCAAGTCTTGCTTAGAACGAGAACCACACGAATTTACAAATCACAACCTGAACCGAAAAAAAATAGCCTCGAATCTTCAGACAAGCTATTCCATCGGTTTTAAAGTTGCAGACACACCATCCAACAACTTCGATTCATCCACATAGGAACCAACGCAATCCACCAACACCACATCTTCTCGAAATAGCAACAGCGATGCAAACTGGACGATTCGACACAGCGTCTACAGAACTCAAGCTAATCCAAAACCTAATCAAGTAAACTGCACAGGACCGCAATGCCAAAGCAATCAACTGAGAGAGAGAAAGAGAGAGAGAGAGAGAGAGAGTTACAGTCTCGGATCGCTTGAGGAGAGGTCCCTGCAGCAAGGTCTTCCCGGAACCGGAGGCCAGCTGGCGCTTGATCTTCTCCAGGCTGCTCACGGCACCGCCGGCCCTCTCCTGACCAAAAACGGTGAGGGCAATCGCAAGTCAAAAAGAGCTCCCATCGCCGCCACGCCGATCCCGTCGTTCCCCATCACCCCTCGGGAAGCGGAACAACAGCAAAAGCAGGAGCGAAGGAGGAGGGAGAGAGCGAGAGAGAGAGGGAGAGAGAGACTCACCGTCGAAGCACCATTGGACGCCATCGCCGGCGACCGAGCGAGCGATCGATCGACAGGGATTTTTCTCCGCAGCAGAAGAGGAGGAAAAATCGGAGCGATTCGGAGGAACGCGATCGTCTTCGTCTTCTTCTGGCTGTCGGTTATTAACTGTTACCGTTAGGTCACGGCAGGGAGGAGGAGGACTCGTGTGAGCCCACCCGTGTGAAACTCGGGTGCATGCAATGACGGAGCTGCTCGGCCATCGCCTTCGAAGTCAACGCGTGCTCTGCCGAAAGCCGACGTGGAATTGCCCCGCTTCGTGAATAGCTAGTTTTAATCATGTCGCATCGTGAGCCCGGCCGAGCATGCCTTGATTTCGATCTTGCCTCTCTTTTGTTTCTTTGGACCCGGCACGCTCGTGTGGATGGATTGTCACCGATGTTGTTTATCGATCCTCATTTTGAGATCAGTTTAAACCGTAGATTGATAAGACGAGCATATTCGAAAATATTTGATTAGCAGCGACGCGAATGATAAGCTACTTAAAAGATGAACTTTCGATTCATATCTTGACTCTAAGATTCAAAACCGTGGCCGCGCTTGCTCCTATATGACCAGGGACATGAGATTTGAATTGTGCCATGACGATTCAAGGTTCTAAAGTCTGTTGTGCTCCTACGAACATGTAAAGAGTGCTATGACTTAGGAGAGTCTTGCAACATCTAAAATTAAAGTAAAATATATATATGAGATGTACCTTGAACATTAGAGTTTTCTTCACTAGAATAATCAACGGGTGGGTCTGAATATGTGAATCGTACTGATTTCGAGCACTTTTGAGTTGTGTTTGGTTCAACTTTTCTAAGAGATTTTAGACTTTCAAAGTCTCTTAGGAAAAAATTAAGGTGTTTGCAAAAAAAAATTTGGGCCACTACGAGGAAATCCTAGCATTAATAAGGCAATCTACCTTGGGCTTTTAGCATTTTCAAAAGGCAGATCCTAAGATAAATAATTTTTTTTTTCTTTCCAAATTACCTCCACTAATAATCTCATATTTAGATTTTGCCCTAGCAACTGTTCATCTTCTCTGCAGATCTGGAGTTTGCGAAGGTGGAGGATCTGGACGGAGGTCAGCGAGGGGTCGGCTGGGGTCACGCAAGACCAGCGTTGTGTTGCTTGAAGACGCGCGGCCTTGGCTACCTGTCACTTGGCTTGCACGGCGTCGGAGTTCAGACTTTCCACTTGGCTCGCGTGACGCCTGAGTCTAGATCTAGCTCGCTTGAGGTCATGCGACCTTGGTGTCACCTCACCCGGGGTAGCGCAACCTCAATGGCCCTCGCCTAGTGACATGCCGACCACCTAAGGATAGGATTTGCTGAGCTCAACCGCCAAAATTTTAAATCTGGGAAGTTTGAAGTCTCGCGAGCTCGGCGACGGACCTAGCCTAAGTTTCACTAAGCTCTGTGGCAACGGTTGGGCTTTGCAGATCTACTTGCATGAGCTATGTTGTGATGGTCGGGCCTCACTGAGCTTTATTTGCCTCACCTGAGCTCTACTACGACGAGGGTCGTCGGTCGGCGCTCGCCTAGCAAACGGTCACCGTTAATGCTCGCTTGTGGTCACGGCCGAAGCAAGGGAAGTATCCTTGCCCTCTTTGTCTCTGGTTGCTCGGTTGCCTTCTCTCTTTTTTCTTTTTCTTTTTTACTTCAAAGTTGCTTTACACAAAATATTCATCAACCAAACGCAATTTGCTTTTAACAAACACACCTTCGTCCAAGGACACTAGGGAAAATGGCTTTCCATCCCCCAAACTTGAACCAAACACAGCATCTGTCTATAAGGTGTAAAAAAGTTTACAATTCATAAGAATTAATTTATAAATGCGAAAATCCTTTTAATGGGGTCGAAGAAACAAACTAGCTATAAATGTTCATGGAACTTAAGTAGATTTAACCCCCAGTTTATTTCATTATTTGTATTCATTTACGTTTTTTTCCTAACAATGAGGAGCTTGACGTTCTTCAGTTCACCTTATCCGAGCACGGTTTGTGCTTGCACCTGGGTTGCTCCAATTGACTACGTAAATACATATGCTGACAGCTCAAACTCATGTCCTGACATCAACAAGAAAGAAAAAACATGTTCATGACTCGAACAGGTACGATGTAGTTCGTCCGTCGATACCGAATTTGCTTAGTATCGGAAAAGAATGTCACCGTGATAGGCAAGACAACGCCATTAGTCATGCATCTTGCTGGCTTCGCAGCATGAGGCATGCTATCACTAACACCATTGCAAATCCAATAAAAAGGAAAAATAAAATAAAACATTATTGAGAATACAACATCATTGACCATGCTTTGTGTGATGTCCTTTCAATCATATAATGATACATCTGTTGTTTACATATACTTACACATTTAACATGAAAAAGCTTGCCGATCACTTTTCCACCAAATGCTTTTATAAAGGAGGAAACTATTTTGTGTCTAAATTTTCAAAAAATTGACTACCGGCTTTCATACCATGTTGGAAAGTCAAACAAAAAAACTTAAACTATTAAGTTGAGGAAGATAGCATTCATATAAAGAATATCAAGCAATGTCGGACAATATTTCAACGATGTTCGTCTCCACTTCCCTCGTTATCAACCAAAAAGTCAGATCGTTGTCTTCTAATATAATGCATTACTTAGACCTTGCGGGAGGAAGTAAAAGAGCACGCAAGAATTCCAGCTTTGGACGAAGTGATGCTTGATGCTTTTTTAATAAGCAAGAAACGCACGTCACTCCACGTGAAGAATCAATGAAGGATCCTCGGATGTATAGTTATGGAACGTGCAATCAATTGGGAAAATTATCCAAAAAATTCTAAATCTATTGCACTTTTGCCGATTGAGTCCTAAACTTTTACACTTTTGGTCAATTGAGCTCATCCGGTCAATTTTGGCCGGAAATCGCTGACGTGGACGCTGGCCGGCCACGTGGCGCTGACGCCGATATTTTTAAATAATATTTTAATAATTTTCTTAATTTTTTATGGTTTTTTTCTTCTTCTTTTTTTCCTTTTCTCTATTTTTTTGGGGTTTCGGAGTTGGCCGGCGAGGGTGGGCTAGCCCTCGCCTGTGGCCAGCGAGGGTCGGCTGGTCACTCTCGCTGGCCAACTCCAAAACCCCAAAAAAAAAAAAAGACAGATAATAGGAAAAAAAATCATAAAAAATTCAGAAAATTATTAAAATATTATTTAAAAAATATCCACGTCAGCGCCACATGGCCGACCGACATTTACGTCAGCGATTTCCAGCTAAAATTGATTGGATAGACTCAATTGGTAAGAAGTGTAAAGGTTTAGGACTCAATTGGTAAATTCGAATGGTTTATGACTCAATTGACAAAAGTGTAATAATTTTAGGACTTTTTTGATAATTTTCTCGCGGTCAATCCTACAGTAGTTAATTAAAAAACGATGTATAAAGTAATACCTGCTATCTATCAAATCATGATCTGACACCTAATTATATTACAGAAAGAATGGAGAGACCCTTATCTTTGAAAATCTTTTGCTTGATGCAAAGTCCAATCGCTTATCTTCAAACCCAATAAGAAAATCGTCAGATGGTTGATTATAAGCTGAGGCGATATGCGACACGCATGCTCGTGCGAGGTTTGCCGCGAAACGAACCACTGGAAATTCCTGCACGTGCGCCCATGGTAAAGGAAAGACATGGCCCGTCCTCTCCGTCGCCGCACGTGAAGTTGAGCGGAGATCCTTCGGAGAATCGTGTTTGGAAAGGTTACGTTCCGGTGTTGGTCGGGAAGGACGTGGCGGCGATGCAGAGATTGCACCTGCCGACCAAGCTGGTGGGTCATCCTTTCGTCGCAGCTCTGCTCGAGCTCTCGGCAAACGAGTTCGGCTGCGAGCAGCAAGGTTTGCTGAGAATCCCTTACGACCCCGACTGTTTCAAGCAGATGATGAAGAGGATATCGAAGAAGAAGTGAGAGCCCAGGTTATCTCATCCTGTACTTAACAAAGACATGTATCGGCGATTTAGTTTAGTGTCCTACTGAGAGAAGGAAAACCCTAGCAATAAGGAGAAGCTAGTTCTTCCTAAATCTTGATCAAAATGGCTTACATTCTCCCCATGGTGTTCACTTCTAGAAAAGCTTGTGACTTAGTAGTATGTGCAAGTTTTTGGGATGCAGGAGTATGAGGTAGTATCAACAAGTCCCAGAGTCAACGCGTTCTGTTCTATTTCTTTTTTTGTACGTTTATTAATACTTGGAAGAGGGAAGATAATGGAAATTGTCTGCATAAATTGTTCAAGCTTGCCAATTTAATCATAAACCTTTCAGTCGTGTCAATTCAATCCTAAACCCTTGAAGATTTTCCGATTTAGTCCTCAACCTTTTGACGATTTATCAATTTTGACCAAAAATTGCTGATATGGATATCGGCTAGCCGCCGGCCATACTACATGGCCATGCTGACATAGACAATTTGAACATTTTTTTTTAAATTTTTCTAAATTTTTCCTTTTCTAACCTATCACCTGTGGTCGGTACTCGGCCATGGTCAGCAACCGGCCAGCCGAGGGCTCGAACCTCACGACCTTGGGGAGGGCGACCCTCATGGCCTCTAGCAAGGGCAGCCCTTGCCAGCAGCCAGGAGGGTCGCGACGCCCTCGCCTAGCCAATCACCAGTCATAGTTGAGTAACAGCCATAGGCGAAAGGAAAAAAGTAAAAATAAAAAAAAAAGGAAAAATTCATAATTTTTTTAAAAGATACAAAAGCTATCCACGTCACCCCCAGCCATGCCATGTAGGCTGGCTCTACGTTCACGTCAGCAATTTTTTGTCAAAATTTCGGGGAGGGCAACACTCATGGCCTCTAGCAAGGGTAACCCTTGCCAGCGGCCAGGAGGACGGCGACGCCCTCGCCTAGCCAATCGCCAGTCATAGTTGAGTAATGGCCATAGGAGAAAGGAAAAGTAAAGAAAGGAAAAAATTAAAAATTAAAAAAAGGAAAAAAATTCATAATTTTTTAAAAAGATACAACAGCTATCCATGTCACCCCTAGTCACGCCACGTAGGCTAGCTCCGCGTTCACGTCAACAATTTCTGGTCAAAATTGGCTCGAAGAATTACATTGGCAAATCGTCAAAAAGTTTATTTCTAAATTC